GGCACAGGGGGGCGGGTTGTGGGCATGACTTCCAGAGTCAGAGGTTACCTGGATGCCGGGGCAGTCCCAGCAGTTTGCAGTGAGAGTCCTGGTTCCTGCATAAGCGAACTATGCTTGTAGAGGCTCATGGTCACTGGGGTTCCCTCTGGAGGAGGAGTCTCCTGAATTTTTTTATTTCATCTCCTGAAACTTCTATTAATGACACTTCTGATTGTAGCTTTCTTATTTCTGCTCTCCTTTCTTCCTGTATTTTGTTGACTCTGTGTTCTATTATTTCTTTCATTTCCTCCTTTAATTTTCTGGATGACTACTCCATAGTTCCTTTGAGTTCCTTGAACATCCTCAACATTTCATCTTGAAATTCTTTATCGGAGAGATTGTATTTGTGGATAATCCCCGTTGAGGATTCTGGACTCTTTTCTTCGTCCTCGCCTCGTAGTGGGGGATTTGCACTGTTTCTTCATGTTGTGGTTGTATAGAGGAAAAACTTACCAGTTCACAAGCACTGTTTCCTCTTGTTATGGGAAAGTATTCTTGATGAGCTCGGTCAATGGTGGACACACTTCTCCGCTTCTATAAAATATCCTTCCTCTCAGACATTTTTCTGTGACTTATGACAGGCATCTAGTGAAGTTTTGAAGGATATTTTCTTTTATATTGGGCTTGTACAGCTTTTTTGTCTATACTGGCCTTTTGGTGAAATTGGAGTAGGCCAGTGGACTATTGTTGGATTGTGTTTGAGATGGCCAGGACAGTTTCCTCAGAATTAGGTGATGTTGGGATGGGATGTGAGTCGAGAGTTCTGGAAATGGGGAGTATAACTGAAGCGGCATGGATGGTCACACAGAACAGCATGCAACCCCGGCCACTACAGTGGAGGCCACACCTCCAGCCCATCTGGATACTAGTCCCCTGGGCCTGTGAAGAAGATGGGTGAGGAATAGGTGGGCGATGCTCACGGAGGAACTCTGAGCAGGTGCCCTTAGAGATCAGTCTGGGTGGCAGATGATGGGGGGTTTGGGGTGGGGCGGGAAATTTTTTTGTTAAAGCAATGTTGACTTACAAGATTACATATAATTTAGAAGACTAAGAACAGCTTAACACTTTCAAATGCATTACCAAATCCACAATCAAATGACTTTTGCTGAATAGTGTGCAATTTTTCATCAATTTTCAGTTACGTCTTTATTAAATGATGTTTTCTTGAATTTTTATTAAACTCCATTTATTAATTTTTGAGCTTAATTCTATTGACCTTAGTGTGAAATCCCAGAAGACATCACAGTTGATGTTAAGTAATATAATGTGTATATTTTCTTCATTTTTTAAAATTTGAACTGCAATATACAATTATTTAACCTGTTTCTTTCTTTAAAAACTCCATTTTTCTTTAGGTAAAGTGATTTATAATACTGTTAATGATACATAACGTATGAATGTTTTATGCACACAATATTCAAGTACACACTCAATCAGAGAGATCTCTCCACCATTTTCTCAGTGTTCCCCCTCAACCTCTCTCCATTCCCCCACCAAACTAGTAAACTCGGTTTTGTAGAAGAATTCTCATGTTCTGTTAACTTTTAAAATTTGTTGTTTCCTTACCATCTTTCATTATATATCCCTTGTGAAAGAATCCTTTTTGTTTCTCCCTCCACTTCTTACTCACTTCATTAAGCATGATAATCTCCATATTCCTCCACCTAAAGACAAATTTTGTTATTTCATCTTTTCTTGTAGCTGAGTACATTTCATTCTGTACATACCCCCAAAGATTTTTAATCTAGCCATCTGTTCTTGGGCACTTGAGTTGTTTACAGATTTTAGCTATTGTGAATAGTACTGAAATAAACAAATCACCACAGATTTTTTTAAATAGTGTTTTGGGAATCTGGAGTGAGATGCGAAGAAATAGACTTCTGGATTGTATAGAAGCTCGATTTTTAGCTTGATTTGAAATTGGTTTCTAAATGAACTAGTGAGCATTACCACAGACAATAGATAAGGGTTTCTTTAATCCCACATCAACATCAATACTGGTTTGTAGTTACTATTTTAATGTGAGCCAGTCTCACTGATTTGAGGTAATATTTTATATTTGTTTCGATTTTCATTTGCCTGATGATCAGCCAGTGATTTGCAGCATTATGTCACATACCGATTTGCCATCTGTGTATCTTCCTTGAGGAAGATTCTATCTCTTCTCCTCATTTTTGAACGGGATTGACTTTGTTCTGATTATTAAGATTTGTAAGTGCTTTATATGACTCAGATATCAACATTTTTCCAGATGGGTGGTGGAAAATATTTTCTTTCAGTATTTGGGGAGAAAATACTACGTTATTGTCATCATTTATTTCACAGTACACAAGGTTTCTAATTTGATATAATTCCATTTGCTTATATTTGACTCAATTTGCATATCCAATGACACAGAATTGCTGAAGATAACTCTAGATTCAATGTCCTCAAAGGTTCTTCCTATATTTTATCTATACATTTTAAGAATTTAGATATGATATTAAGGTCTTTAACCCATTTGAATTGACTTTTGTGCACTATTAGGAGTTTGAGCTCATTATTTTACCTGTGACTGACCAGTTTCCCAATATCATTGGTTGAAGAGGTTTTCCTAGAGTATGCCTATTTCATACTGTAGCTCTTTGTTAAAGATTATATGTCCATATAACTTAGAATGTGTCTCTGGACTATGGATTATATTCCATTGGTCTGAGATTTTGTCTTTATTCCAATACCACATTGTTTGATTCAGTTTTATAGTACAATTTAAATTTAGAAAAAGGTGTTTTTCTATAGTGCTCTGACTCTTTGGAAGGTATTATTTCTCCACATAAATTTCAATAACATTTGGTCCATGTTTTTAAAATTACATGAAACTTTTTTATAGGATAGCATTTAATCTGCATAGTGCTCTGGGCAGAACTGTCATCTTGACAATATTAATCTCTCCAACCCATGGACAGAGGGTGAGTTTCAATTTCCTTATGTCTTCTTTTATTCATTTTAGTATTGATTTAAGGTTTCCCATATATAATTCTTCTGCTTAATTTGTTAGGCTGATTCCCAGGTACTTGGATTTTGAGGTGCAAAGAAAGGCAAATAAATTTTTGCATGAAAGGAACTGAAAAAACCATTTCTCTCTTGTATTTCCTTGTTTTCATAGAGAAATACCATACATTTTTATGTGGTTTGTACCTTACCATGTTTCTGTACATATTTTTTGTTTCTTTTTTATTTTGCTTTTCTGTTTGTTGTTTGTTTAGGATTTTCTAAGTATAGTATCATGCCATCTGCAAATAATGACAGCTTGACTGCTTTTCTAATCTGGAATCACTTAATATCTCATTCTTGCCTAATTCTTATGACAACAAATCCAAAAATAGTACTGTATCACTGTACTCCAGTTGTCCATGGATTTGCTTAAGTGGGCAGTAGTAATGTCTCCATTGTGAGACTTGTTGTTACTGTTTTTGGCATATTGAATACATCGCAGATAGCTTGCCAGGCTCTCCTAGAGGAACAGAGGAATCGAACCTGGGTTGGCCACATGCAAGGCAAATGCCCTATTCACTGTGCTATTGCTCCAACCCAATATCCAAAAATAAAGTGAATAATTGTGAGAGTGTGATACCTTGTCTTATTCCTGTTCCTGAGGAAAGGCTTTCTGTTTTCTCCATTGAGTATTATGTTAACTAAATGTTCATGATTTCCATGATTACCATTTCAATGTTAGATGATTCCAATACTATGGAGGAACTTTCCTTCTATCTCAATTTTAGACAGTATTTTTAATCATGAATGAAAATTGAATTTTCCAAAATACTATCTCTCCTTTTATTGATGTGGCTATGCACATATGTTTATTTTTCCTTGTATTGATATGGTACATTGCACTGATTGATTTGTATGTATTAAGTCATCCTGCATTCCCTGAATAAATCCTACTTAATTATGTTGTACGATCTTTCTGTTGTACTATTGGATTCAGCTTACTGATATTTTATTAAGGATCTTGATCCTTTATTCCTCAGGGAAATAGGTCTATAGTCTCTCTGTCTGCTGTTGCTATCCGGGTAGTTTTTGCTTCAAAGAAACTGTTCGGAAAGGCTCCTGTTTTTTTAAATTTTGGGGGGAGCATGAGAAGGATTCAAATAAGATCTTCAATAAATTTTTGGAAATCATCAATAAATTCATCTGGTCCAGGATTTTATTTTTGGGAAATTTTTTGATTACCATTTGATTTTTATCATAATTGCTCTCTTCAAGTGCTCTAATTCCTCTTACTTCAGGTTTGACATGTTATGAATCCAAATCTTAATATGTTTTTTCCAGGTTCTCCAACAGGTTGGCATAAACTTTTTGTAGAAGTACCCAACAATCCTTTAAATGTCTTTTTATCTATTGTGGTATTTCCCCTGTTGTCTCTGATTCAGCTTATTAGGGTCTTGTCTCTTACCATCTTTGTGAAAAGTTTTGTCAATCTTGTTTATTCTTTCATAGAACCAGCTCATGGCTTCATTGACTCTTCAAGACAAAGCATTTTTGTTTCCATTTTATTGATTTCTACTTTTAAAAAATTTTTTTAACTGAATCACCGCGAGCTACAGTTACAAAACTTTCATTTTGAGTTTTAGTCATACAATGATTGAAAACACATCCCTCCACCAGTGTACAGTTTCCATTACCAATGTCCCCAGTATCCCTCTCCTTACACGCCCCCCCCCCCCCCCGTAGCCTACCTCTTCCCCTGCCTCTATGGCAGAAAGTTGCCTTCTTATTTCCTCTCCTCCCTCTCTCTCTCCCTCCCTCTCCCCACCCTCCCTCCCTCTGTCTCTCTGTCTCTCTGTCTCTCTGTATCTCTGTCTCTGTCTCTCTCTCCTTATGGGTAGAGAGAAATCTGTTTGCATTACAAATTATAAGTAATGAGAAGCCATCATATTTGGTCGTTTATCTACTTTAATTTTTATTTCCTTCGGTTCAGTCGGATCCCGGCAGCAGCTGCGGCGCCCGCGTCTTCCCGAGCTCTCGTCGCCGTCTCCTTTTCGCTTCCGGAAACATGGCTTCCGGCGTGGCTGTGTCCGATGGTGTCATCAAGGTGTTCAATGACATGAAGGTGCGCAAGTCGTCCACCCCCGAGGAGGTGAAGAAGCGCAAGAAGGCAGTGTTCTTCTGCCTGAGCGAGGACAAGAAGAACATCATCCTGGAGGAGGGCAAGGAGATCCTGGTGGGCGACGTGGGCCAGACCGTGGACGACCCCTACGCCACCTTTGTCAAGATGCTGCCCGACAAGGACTGCCGCTACGCCCTCTATGACGCGACCTACGAGACCAAGGAGAGCAAGAAGGAAGACCTGGTGTTCATCTTCTGGGCCCCAGAGTCTGCGCCTCTTAAGAGCAAAATGATCTACGCCAGCTCCAAGGATGCCATCAAGAAGAAGCTGACGGGAATCAAGCACGAATTGCAAGCAAACTGCTACGAGGAGGTCAAGGACCGCTGCACCCTGGCAGAGAAGCTGGGGGGTAGCGCCGTCATCTCCCTGGAGGGCAAGCCGTTGTGAGCCCCCTCCAGCCCCCTGCCTGGAGCATCTGGCGGCCGAGCTGCCTCCGGGGGTTGCAGGCTGCCCCCTTCCTGCCAGACCTGAGGGGCTGGGGGATCCCAGCAGGGGGAGGGCAAACCCTTCACCCATTTGCCAAACAGCCCCCCCACCCCCCGGACCTTCTTCTTCCCTCCATCCCCGACGGTTCTGGCCTTCCCAAACTGCTTTTTGATCTTCTGATTCCTCTTGGGTTGAAGCAGACCAAGTCCCCCCCCCAGGCACCCCAATTTTGGGGGACCTGTATTTTTTTTAACGACACCCCACCTCCCCACCTGCTTCCCCTTTCCCATGCTGCCAACTCTAACCACAATAGTGACTCTGTGCTTGTCTGTTTAGTTCTGTGTGTAATGGAACGTTGTGGAGATGACCCCCTCTGCGCGCCTCACCCCTCCCCTCCCCTTGGCCTCTCCACTCCTGGAGCACTAAGACTAAGGGACCTTCAATTAAAAAAACACAACAATAAAAAAAAAATTTATTTCCTTCTGTTTGCATTGTATTCCCTTTGTTGATTATTTTTTTAGCAATGTAAGCTGTGCTCTTAAGCTACTTATTTAGTTTCTTCCTTACTTCCTGCTGAGTGTTTGCATTGCCAAGAACTTTCCTCTTAAAACTGCGTTTTCTGTATCCCTTGTGTTTGGATAAGCATGTCGTTATTCTTATTTATTCCCAAGAGTCTTTTATTTTTTTATTTCCTCTTTGACTCACTGGTTGTTTATTGATAATTTGTTTAACTTCCAATTAATCTATCTTTGCTTTTGCCAACCCTGGTAATACTCAGGCCTGACTCCTAGCTCTGTGCTCAGAGATCACTCCTTGTGGGGCTCAAGGTGCCATATGGTGTGCTGATGATTGTGCCTGGGACAGCCATGTGCAAGGCAAGCCCCCTTCTTCGGCACTAAACAAAAGCAATTTTAACACCAATGGTTTTCAAAATCAATCTGACACATTGGAAAAGATGATAGAGGGCATTACCAGGGTGAATTAGGAGTCCTCAAGCTTTCTTATTTTGTCCTAATGACTGATTTAGCCTTTAAATTAAAAAAATTGACTAGAGAGGTGGTAAACAGGGGTTAAAGTGTTTGCCTTGTATACTGCCAATACCAGCTTGATCCCCAGCATTGCACATAGTTTTCTGAGTACCAGAAATGAATCATGAGCAACGAACCTAAAGAGTAAGCCTTGATGATTTCTGAATGTGGTTCAAAATAAAATAAAGATCCTCAATATCTGTAGCTTATTTACTAAAAACTTACAATACATGTAAGCTAATCATTAATAATCGAAAATTATCTAAAAATGCTTATCATGTCATTGAATAATGAACTGAACACAAAAGTATTAAAATAGGGGATTGATAGTTAGTACAACTGGTAAAAGTGCTTGCTTTAGATGCAGCCAAAGTGAGATGGATTGTAAGCACCATGTACAGTTCCAAGTCTCACCAGGAGTGAATCCTAAACACAGAGGTAAGAATGAGCCCTGATGTTTGCCTTGCATGGAGCCGATCTGGGTTCAATTCCCAGCATCCCATATGGTCCCCTGAGCACCGCCAGGAGTAATTCCTGAGTGTAGAGCCAGGAGTAACCCCTGTGCATAGCCAGGTGTGACCCAAAAAGAAAAAACAATGACCTCTCAGCACAGCTGTGTGTGGCCCAAATCTCTCCCAAAGCATTGCAATAGAGGACTAATCAAAGCTTCTTTATGGAAACTCTGAAAAGGCATTTTAATGTAAATTCTTATTAGCATGGATAAAGATCTAATGATACTTTAAATTATAAATTTTAAAATTATTTTTCTGTATCATTTTTATATTCCCTTATTTACCATTATTCTTATATTTTTAAAAGTCACATGAAATAGAAGTATAAACCAAAGAGAGATCTTAAATGAGCATTTAATCTGAAAGTGAGGGTTAAAAATAAGTTTATTTACATTGTCTTAACACCATATTAGAGCAAAAATTATTGTGACCAAAGTCTCTTTGTCAAGGTCTCATTTGTACTGACATTAGGCATGCAACATTTCAGATTCCTAAGACTCACCCAAGCAGGGTATCATAAAATCCTGATAATATGAGCAGTATCCAAAGACATCAAAACATGTGGGGAAGCTAGCTAGCTGGTATTACTCCTGTTCTCTTCGAACGATGACATGCAGTGATCCTAACAAGCTCTGGTCTTGACTGATCCAACAGCTCACTTGCAAAGCTCTTTCAGTCATATGAGAAAACCTAAAGCACTGGAATATGATTTACAAAAATTAAATTGGCAAGGAATGTGGTAATAAAGTTGTTTAATGTGTTCCAGGGTGATGGTGGGGAGATGATTTAAAATAGCCTAAGGCAAGAGCAATTTAAAATTGGCTGCTGAATGTTGAGCATTTTCAGATCTGTCTGTGTCTTGGGTGGGTATGCAACATTTTAGTTCAAAGGCTGAAGTCCATTTCAGAGTTTGACAGGAAGAATTAAGAGGCCAGCTGAATTCTTGCCAGAGGAAATAACAAAGAATTCAGAATCCAATACCCAGCCGAGCTCACATTCAAAACAATGGCTCTTTCTTCCCTCAAATGCAAACCAGTCACTGTTCTGTCCCTACAATTGTAAGTAATGCAGACATCTTTGCTCTTATAATGATCCCCCTTTCTATTCCTCACTTGATCTTTTCTTATTATTCTTTTTTTCTCAGAACTTATATCTCTAATACTAATGTAGTGGTAGCTGTAGAGCAAAATCATCCCAGGATTGATTACCCTTGGTTATTTCATTACCTGAATTTTGGAGAGAAGATGAAAGAACATGATATGAAGAAGAGCCACAATGTGTAGCTTGGATCAAAACTCTATGTTTCAAGGCATGGTTACTTGGTGTGTGTTATTGTAGTTATACCTAGTCAAAGGTAAATGAAATAGAAATAATGTACCTAATACTGGTATTAAGAGATGTGAATACAAAAATGCTACTAGTTCATTATTTGGCAGGCAGATAACACTCAAAAATGTTTTAAAGAGTAAATGGAAAAAAGAGATCTTGTTTTTCCTGAATCAGCCTTGTCAAATGCAAGCCATGGGATTATCACTCAATGTTGTGTATAAGTAAGGATAGAGTTACTCATTTGCCATAGATATTGTCATGATCCAAAGTCAGAGTGTTTTGGATTTTTGAATAGGTCATACAGTTTCATTCAAATGAATTTTTCTATTGAAGACCATGAAACCAAATATGATTTCTATCTCATTTACTCAGGGACAGCCATTATTTTTCAAATTGAAAAATTTATGTTTAAATTGGAAAACGTCGTATTTTTTCTAACCAAGGCAGAAAGTAGAGATGTGGAAATAAAGTAGTAGTGTTTAAAAATGAATCATTCATCATAGGTGTATGCTCTTAACAAAGACAAATCCCTTTTTAGACTCAAGTTTATCTATAACAAAGTGACACCACCTCAGACAGGAGTTCTTTTTTCAATTCTAAATTTCTAGCAGAGATTTCATATAGTCATGGGCCTTCGAGGTTAAGCTCCATAAAACTGTAATGGTAAATTGATCCATCGTCTCTGTGTGTCTCTGGTTGGGGTTACATCTGCCAACATTTCTAGATGAAAAGTGAACAATGGTTAATTGTCCAGATGCTTCCATATATCCAGATGTTTGGCATGGAGATCTAGCATGTGAGTGATTGACTAAATTGCTTCATTTTTCATCCAGACATGTTGGCTTGATTTATATACAGTCTCTTTCTTGAAACCAGGAGACAATTCTACAATAGTGTGAGGGCCCAACATGAAAACCAAGCGAAAGTGAAAATGAACAGAGACATAAATAATAGAGGAAAAGGTGCTTTCAAATAATGTATTCAATTGTTCTGTTTCTCAGTCTGAATATCACTGTCCTAGACTTTCTAGGACCTTACAAAATGTGATAAATGAAATCAATGAGCATATTCACTTCAGTCCAGCCACTAGTAAGTAAAAGTACATGAATGAACATCTAAGCTAATCTCTCTCCGTTAATTATTAGTTTCTGTTATCATTATATGCTTTACTGTGGGAATGCTTTAAGACTCATTTTCTTATCTTTAGCTATTCTTAATTATCATCTTCAAAAATACATCTATTTTCATAATGATCAACAGTCACCTCAATTATATAGGGAGAAATCTGGTGAATCCAAAGAACCAGAGGATACACTTCACATGCAGGCGCTCCAGACTTGGTCCCCAGCACAGAATCACTGGAAATGACCCTGAACACCCAGCCCTAAGCACTGTCTGATTTGGCCTAAAAGCAAAAAAAAAAAAATCAACCAATACAATAATATTCATGTAACACATAATTTGGATAGTTGGTAGTTTCATCTGATCTCAGCTAGACAACTCCTCTAGTTTTGTCTGTGGTACTTTTGCAGTGACAGTCAATTGTTGTGTTAACTGGATACTGGGCTGATTAGTCTTTAATGGTCTCCAATGGAATAGACTTCTCCATCTTTTCTCAGCTAATCAAAACTGTTCTCAACATTCCAGGAAGTATTCCAAGAGAGTATGCACAATTATGCAAAGTCTTTTAAGGCTTAGGTTTGGAAATAGTGCATCATTTCCATCATATTATAGTGATGAAGTTAGCTCAGATTTAGGGAACAAAGAAATACTTAACTTTTTCATTGAAGTAGCTGCAAAATCAAATGAAAATGAATGACTACATAATGACATAGGAATTTGGGACAATTTCTACAAGCAATCAACTACAATACTCCAGAAATTTATTTATAAATTTTTCTTTATTTTTACAGTCAAATTTTCTTTACTTTTACATGCTTTAATCTCTGTCAGAAGGGCTGGTCTGTGTGGCTATATTAATAATGTCTCAAGTCCATTTACTTCTGGCCAAGAAGAGCCAAAGGAAATCATTGTAGAGCAGGTGGTACCTTGGTTCTGTAGCTTCCCCGGGCTTCTTTTTGTCTTTGTTTTAGTTTTCAACTGTACCAGAGATTAGGGCTCCTTTCAACATCACCCTCAGAGACTTTGCTCTTCAAGCTCATGTTCTTCCTTGAAGAGTTTATCTTGCTTGTGTATCTCCATGGTTTCTTCGCCTTTTCCACTCTAGAGAATCCTGCATTCTTTCTCAAACATGGAATTCTCCCTTTCTCTCCCCTTGCGTCTTTCTGAATAAGCTTCAATAAAAACTTTTTTTTTGCTTCAAAAAAAGAAAACCCTTCTGATATAAAAGCCACCAATTATTTATTTGTTTTTTTGTTTTGTTGTTATTGTTGCTGTTTTGTTTTGTTTTGCTTTTTGGGTCACATCCAGCGATACTCCTGGCTATGCACTCAGGAATGACTCCTGGCGGTGCTCAGAGGACCATAGGGGATGCCGGGAATCGAACCCACATTTGCTGTGTGCAAGGCAAACGCCCTCTCCACTGTGCTATCGCTCGGGCCCCACCACCATTTATTTAAATGAGAACTGCTTCAGTTGGAAA